ATGGGAACATGAATGTGTTCTGGAAGCCATTGATGGTACACTGGGACCCATCCAGCCACCTGCCGTTTGTATTTGATTGTTCCATGAGAGGTTTGAGATATGCGTGTTTTAATGTGCGGCCATCTTCAGCACACGGATGTAGAGCCTGGCCCAGCCATAGGGGCACCGTGTCAGGAATCTGGAGATTCCTGTGTAGATTACTAAGGAATTTGGTGTGCTGCCTCAGTAATGCATTTGAGCTTTAGACAAAACGTTGAGATTGGGGTGAAAGGTTCAATGGCACTTCATTTCTTGAGATTTTAAGTCTAAAATGCTAACTTGGGTGCTGGAGCGATAGCACAGCGGGTAGAGTTTTTTCCTTGCCCGTGGCTGACCCGGGTTCGATTCCCAGCATCCCATCAGGTCCCCCGAGCACTGCCAGGAGTAATTCCTGAGTGCAGAGCCAGGAGGAACCCCCGTGCATCTCCGGGTGTGACGCCAAAAAGCAAAAAATAAAAATAAAATGCTGACCTGACATCATTAACTCTTTAGCTGTCCCCGTTACTTACTGTGCCTCTAGAACACAGCACATGCACCAAAAATCTAAGAACTCACACATCCATGCTACCACATGGCTGCAGCCCCGTCACCCCAAATGGCCTTCTTGTCCCTGGACCCCACGGGTTGCATTTGGTGGCTGTGTCTTGGCCATCACTTCCAGTTGCTGGACTCTTCATGGTTTTGAAAGCTGGAAAGATTGCAGAACGGGTTTTTGGTTTTTTTGTTTTTGGTTTTGGTTTTGTTTTTGTTTTTTTGCAGAGCTGTTATTTTGTAAGGTGCCTCCCACCCCCGCCAGCCTCCTCTGTCTCAGTGACGTCTCAGCCTCCATTCCTCCGTTCGTTACCCTTTTCCTAGGCCGTCCATGGGGGGAACGTGAGCGCGTGAGTGCGGAGTCCTCATCCCTTACAATCAGGAAGGCTTTTTTTGTTTGTTTGTTTGTTTTTTCTTTTGCTTTTTGGGTCATACCTGGCGATGCCCAGGGATTCCTCCTGGCTCTGCACTCAGGAATCACTCCTGACGGTGCTCGGGGGACCCTATGAGATGCTGGAGATTGAACCCGGGTTGGCTGCGTGCAAGGCCAACGCCCTCCCTACTGTGCTATCTTTCTGGCCGCCAGGAGTAATTTTTTATGCTTTAAAACGAAACATTTCATTTTCCTCACTTAACAGTTTTCCTTATTTCCTCATTGCCATCCCTGTGTGATAACAGTGTTTGATGATCTCTCCCTCATTCCTTGTATGCTCCTGTTGTCTCAGACTGACCTTTCTGGAGCCTTCACCCTGGCTCCGTCACCAGGAGCGGGCCTGTGTATCGCTGAGGGTCACCTCCCGGTAAACTCTGTCTCCGTCCGTTCTGTACTTGCCCTGTCCTTCCTAATGGACCCTTCTTGTTCACCACGCGCTGAGGGTCTTCCTGAGGAACAGCGTTCAGGAAGAGTAGTGGCGGTGGTGGCAGGCTTGGGGTGGGGGGTCCCGAGGATGAGGCCGTTTCCAAACACAAACCCCAAACCGCAAGTGGGAGCCGGCCGTGTTAGAGGCGTGTTTCCAGCCCCGGGATGGGGCGCTCAGTCCCCCCAGCTCCGGCTGCACGAGGGAGTCGACACCTGTGCTTAGGACGTTCTGTTTATTTTCACACAACAACGTGCGCGGTCCTTAACATACGTTCACAAAGCATATGTTTGTCACGTGAGCTTCTTCGGTGTGGGAAAGGCGTGCGTTCCCATAAGCCAGTCTGCACGGACAGCAGTGTTCACCTGCATTTCTCCGTCCCACTTACGCCCTTTCCCCCCAGCCAGCGCCCACCCTCATCCTTTCTTAACGCATGCGTGCTTGGCTCACGCTCTGGACGCAGCAGACACCCCCCCCCACCACCACCACCACCAGCGCCCTGGGAAATCCCCTGGGGCTCCCTGTCCTCCTCCCAGCCCGGCTGTGACTCAGCATGGGGGCATGTGGCAGGCCCAGTGCAGGGCCTCCCTGAGTCGCTTTTCCATTCCTCAGGGAGTGACCGGCTGGCTTAGAAAGCGGGGCTGGTCCCTTCCTAAGGAAGCAGGATGCAGAGCAACTGTCCCAACAGTCACCGGACGGGCTGAAAGCAGTGCTTGTCTCCTGGAAAGCTCTGAAAAAATATTTGTTTTGGAAATTCGCTTGTTGTGAACATGAATCTTAAGCCTGTTCCCCGAATTACCTGTTTATAAGGGGGCGGGGAAAGATGTTCGAAAAGGTTATTGGAGCGATTGGAGTAATAGCACAGCAGGTAGGACATTTGCCTTGCACACGGCTGACCCGGGTTCGATTCCCCAGCATCCCATATGGTCCCCTGAGCACCGCCAGGAGTAATTTCTGAGTGCAGAGCCAGGAGTAACCCCTGTGCATTGCCGGGTGTGACCCGAAAAGAAAAAAGAAAGGCCTATTGGATTCTTTTTTTAAGAGGATATCTCATAAAGACGTGGCTCATATTTGGACATCTCATTTTCAAGTAAACTTAATTTGAGAATAGATTTAGGAAAAAAAATTGCAGTTTGACGCTGTTTTATGAAGCCATCAAATATTGGGAACGGGAGCTTCTTCCGTCTGCGGTCGCTCTTTTTCTTTAGTCGGTTGCACTTTAAAAAATGGAAACCAAGTTCGAGTAACTGGGTCATGAGGAACCTCATCTTCTCTTTCCACTTGGAGCTGGAGGAAGCCAGCCCTCGGGAGGCCAAATATAACAGGATCTGCGGCCAGCCTACCTTAGATGGTCAACAGCCCTCTGGCCAGATTTTGTAAATCCGTTTTCTTGAGGTCCGGCGCTGCTGCGAGTGGATTTTTGCCAAGCGCCTCACACAGCAACTGGTGTGCACAGCCCGACCGTGAAGAAACTCGACTGGAAATCGAAGGAAACTTCAACAGTCTGACTTGCTTTTTTTACTTTGGGTTTTCCCGGGAGTTGCCTGCTGTAGGCTGCAGTTGCCGGCGTCAGACTTTCCTTTGTGAAGGAAAGAGAGGTCCCTGTGTGCGCATGCGGCGCGGACACGCGACTCGAGGGGGATGCATTTCTCGTGGGTCGCGCTCCTGCCCTCCGTGTGGGGCGTCCCGTCATGAGAGCACGTCTCCCCTGCTTGAGTGATGCTTAGTCCCTTTCCTTGAGACCTCAGGGGACCGCCTCTGATTGCTGCCGCATCTGCAAGCCTTTACTTCACTCAAAGTCAGTCTGTCTGACTTTCAGCCGAGCCTGTTTCTCGAGACTATGGAGGCCATAGGTCTGATGTGTTCTGTCTACCCTAAAGTCACAAACGCCCTAGGCGGAGTCTACTCCGAACTTGCTGAGCTAGAGACCCCATCCCCCTCTCTTTTTCTAGCTCTGACACTCAGCGAGTGAGCGTGGCGTCTGGGGTTTTCTGCCCTCGCTTTGAAATGATAACCAGCGGTTGCTTAGGCATTTTTCTTGGAGAAAGTTGGCTGTGCTCTTTATTTTATTAGTCTACGAGGACATATATCAGAATATATTACATGTTAGACTAAAGGTTGCATCTTAAATTTATTCTTTTCAAGTGTGATTTATAAGTTCCACTCGTTTCTTAAGATTGATTTTATATTATTGGGTCGATAAAAAGAGTGACTTTATTTCTTGAAGACGATTTCTTTAGGGGCTGGAATGATAGGTCCGTGGGTAGGGCACTTGCTTTGCCTGCGGTCGACCTGGGTTTGATCCCTGGCATCCCATATGGTCCCCAAGTCCTGCCAGCAATGATTCCTGAACATTCAGACCCTGAAAAATAACCCCTGCCTCCCCCCCTCCCCAAATCCTAATATTTTCAGTATTTTAATTAGGATAGCAAAGCCATTTTCATTCAGGCGCGTGGGGAGATGCCAACTAACTCACCCAAGAAAGGGAATGTGGCTAGGCTTTGCTTGCTTGGGGCCATACCTGGTGACTCTCAGGGCTCAGCCCTGGCTCTGCACCCAGGGGTCCCTCCTGCTGGGTTTGGGGGACCATATGGGGTGCCGGGGATCAGACTTGGGTTAGCCAAGTCTGTACTGACTGTACTGTCTCTCCAGCCCCAGGAATGTAGGGGTTCGGGTGCACTCTGTACTTACATTAAAAACTCAATGGAGGGCTGGAGTGATAGCACAGCGAGTAGGGCATTTGCCTTGCACACAGCCAACATGGCTGACCCTGGTTCGATTCCCAGCATCCCATATGGTCCCCCGAGCACCGCCAGGAGTAATTCCTGAGTGCATGAGCCAGAAGTAACCCCTGAGCATCGCCGGGTGTGACCCAAAAAGAAAAAAAAAAACCCACAATGGAAACCATGCAGCATCAATAATGGAGAAGATCAAGTCTCTATTTTAGAATAGCTCTAAATATTATGCCTCTTGGAGAGCCTGGCAAGCTCCCTGTGGCATATTCGATATGCCAAATACAATAACGACAACAGGTCTCATTCCCCTGACCCTGAAGAGAGCCTCCAATCGTTAGGAAAAGACGAGTAAGAAGAGGTTGCTAAAATCTCAGAGCTGGAGGAATAGAGAAGTTACTGGCACCGCTCGAGTAATTAGACGACCAACGGGATGACAGTAATGATGATGATTTTAGAATAGAGTTGTATAATCATCACTGAGGGTTATTATTATTTTTTTTTTTCAAATAGGGGTCACCCCCAGGGATGTCCAAAGGTTTTGCAGTGCTTGGGGGCAGAATCTTTGCTGGGCAGAAATATGTGTTTTTCAAGATGTTATTCAAAGACGCCCTTGAATGGACTTCTTTGAAACCATACCTAAACTCACGTTTCTCCAAAAAAAAGGGTAACAAAGCCAAATAGGGGGGAATCGCTCAATGTAGTGAGCTTTATAGAAAACCCTCTGTCCTGCGCCCCCCTCCCCCCCCCCCCCCCCGCAGGGAGAGAAATGTCGCCCGTGTGTTGTCTCAAGCCAACTGCCGACAGCTCCTAACCTTTGTGCTTGATCTTACTTTAACAGAGAGAAGGAGCAAGAAAGGGAAGAACAGTTAATGGAAGACAAGAAAAGGAAGAAAGAGGATAAAAAGAAAAAAGAAGCCACTCAGAAGGTGGGTCCAGAGAACGTGCTGCGGCTGGTGGCGTGGGCGCCACTTGGGCCGCCGAGAAGCCGGGGCGAGTGGGACGGGCTCGGCTCTTGCCACCTCCTTCTCCAGCCGGGGAACGCCTGGCCCTGGCGCCCGCCCGTCTCTCCCCTGCCTCCGCTGTCCTTTGTCTGAAGGTGTCTTGGGAATTCCCTCTCCCGGGAGGGACCCAGGGACGTGCTGGTGGGCTGAAGAATTGGCTGGGGGAGGGAAGAGCGCAGAGCTGACTGACAGCTGTCAGCTGTCTCCGCTTAGCTGAAGGAAGTGTCAGGATGGCGAGGTGCGTGCGGGCATGGTGGGACCCACCTGCTCCCGCCCTCGCCCGCTCAGCCTCGCCTCTGGCCCGGCCCTGTGGGTCTCCTTTCCCGTCTCTGCCACACTTGCAAGTCCCAGGCACTGATGGGCAGGGTGGCTCCGGTGCCATCTTTGGGGGACAGAAATGACTGGCTTTGTTTCATTTCCGCGAGCCGAGGCCCTTGGGAGGGCTGTGGGGACTCTGAGCCGCTCAGCGGGCACGTGAGCCCAGCCAGGGGACAGGGTGGCTCTCCTTGGCGTTATAGATATACGAGAAGTCGGATGTCCGAGCGACCATCTGTGAGGGCCGCTGTTCCTGCTCTTGATCGCCTGTCTCCTATGCCACATTAGAAATGTGAGATGTTCTTTCCTTCCTCCTCACGCCGTGCATGTGTGCACGGACATAGGATGCTGACCCTGTGTCCTGTGTCCCCAGAGGGGCCTGCACCGTTCTGCAGGGTTCTGCTCTGCTCCGACTAGTTTCTCCATCAGGGCGGGGGCGGCTGCCACACTTCCACCCCATGAGGACACTTGCTCCTCAGCGCACCCGATCCTCCTTGTCTCAGTTGATTAGAGTAGGTCTAAAGTAACAGTGGGGACCCGAGCGATAGCACAGATGGGAGGGCATTTGCCTTGCACGCGGCCGACCCAGGTTCGATTCCCAGCATCCCTTATGGTCCCCTGAGCACTGCCAGGAGTAATTCCTGAGTGCAGAGCTAGGAGGAAACTCTGTGCATCGCCGGGTGTGACCCACAAATAAAAAATAAATAAATAGTGACAGTGAAGAATCGAAAAATGTCAGACAACAACCTAGAGGCTTCTGAAAGACCTCCAGGACACAGGGACCCTCCAGTCACTGCCATCAGCAGGGCTGACCCGCCAGCTATGAGGTGTTGTGGCTGCCCTGTGCCCCAAGGGATGGGAGGAGGAAACACTCCTGCCTTCAGGCATCCAGCTTATCTCCAGAGGTGAACAGTCAGTCCTTCCCCTCCCTGGGTTAATCGCCTGGGCCCACAGGGTGGAGCCCAAGCTGGGGGCCCACAGAGGCCCAGCGGTAGTCATTGGAGGCCAAAGGCAGCCCCCAGCCACTCTCTAAACGTCTTGGTGTCTTTACGTGGTCAGTGAGCTGTGTCTCCGGAAGCCTTCACTGAGGCTTCCACTCAGTGGAAACTGGTTTTAAAGATGGCAAGGTTTACTCAAGAGCGAGTCGGGATCCTTTGTGCAGAGACCTTCGTTTTGTACAACTGGAGAGTGCTCCCGAGTGCCTGTATCTGCATTGAGACGTGGCGGTAAAGTAGCGGCAAAGAGGACGGTCACCATGAGCTTTGAGAGTGGCTAATTAGGAACAGTAATACAGCTCAGTTATTTTGTTCAAAAATATTCTAGTTTGGCAAGCGAGGATTGGGACCCACTTTGTGGTCTTTATTCTTTTTACTGATCCATCGGGTGAATTTCATTTTGAAATTCTGATTTTTTTTAATACGTCTTATTGGATCACCGTGAGATACAGACACAAACTTGCATGATTGCGTTTCAGTCACACAATGTTCGAGCACCCATCCCTCCACCAGTGCACATTTTCCACCACTATTGTTCCCAGTGTCCCACCCGCCACCCCCATTACCAGTGTAAGGGGAGAGCACATTTACCCTCTGGGGGCTGGAGAGATGCCTAGCACGCGGCCAAACCCACGTTTGAACCTTGGCACCCCATCTGATCCCCTGAGCACTGTAAGAGTGATCCTTGAGCATCACCTGGTGTCACCCCCAAATCAGCACTCACCCCCCCGCAGCCCATCAACTACTCACCATGTGGATATCTATGTTTTTTTTTTTTCGGTCATATTTAGAACCACAGCCTCAACTAGGCGGCCTGAAAAACGCACCGAAGTGAAGGTCGTAGAGAAGGTGCTGGAGGGCCGGTGGTTCTCGGCCAGCCAGCAGACGTCTGAGGGGGCCCTTCTCAGTGACTCTCCAAGCCTCTCCATTTATTTTCCCATTGCACTGGAATTCTCTCGGGCTTTCATTCATGTTTGTGTTTCCAGTAACAAGGGCAGGGCCTGGTGTGTAAGAGTCATTCAAAAAATGTTTGCTTAGTAAGTGAACAGTCAGGAGTGAGTGATGGCCAGGCCGTTTTCTTGAAGAGTTGACTGCGTTAATCCCAGATGAGGTGATCTCCACGCAGAAATTAAACACAAGCTCTCCCCCATTGTGTTCCAGCGTGGTGACCTTTGGCTCTTGGGAGAGCCATCGCAGGATCAGGCGTGAGGGCTTTCCGAAAAGTCATGGGAAGGTGTCAAAGAAGCCGATTCACACGCAGTAGCTGATGCAGTTAGAGTACCATTGTTCAGCAAAGGCAGAGCACAGTCTCTGATCATTTAGCTTTTCCTTGTGTGGGGGGGAGGGTATCCTTTCAATGGCACCCGCATTATAAGATGCATAAGATGCATTTAGCACCTGGCGGGGGAAGACATTGACTTGCTGGATAACTGGTTCTAGCGACTGGGGAGATAGTATTGCGGGTAGGACACTTGCCTTGAGCATGGCTGGCCAGGGTTCAATCCCTGAGCCATCTATAATCACCTGGACACGTCCTGAGTGCCCCCTGCCCCCCTCAAAAAAACAAACAAAAGGTAGAATGATATTCTAAAAAACATTTAGCAGGATGTAAAATTTCTGTTGCCTGAAATGGGTAGGTGGATACAAAGTCTGTTCGTTCCTGAATAAAGGGGGGTTATAGAAAAATTAGACAGTGAAATTGAGTTCTCCACAGTATTGAGAAACACATCCGCTTTAAGATGCTCTCTGCTGGGGCTGGAGCAATAGCACAGTGGGTAGGGTGTTTGCCTTGCACGCAACCAACCGGTGTTCGATTCCCAGCATTCCATATGGTCCCCTGAGCACCGCCAGGGGGGTAATTCCTGAGTGCAGAGCCAGGAGTAACTCCTGTGCATCGCCAGGTGTTGTGATTTCCCCCCCTCCCCCCCAAAAAAAAAGCAAAAACAAAAATGCTCTCTGCCATGAATTCATAACAGAATTCGCTTGTTTATTAAATGCAAGGATGTAAGAAACACTCCAGGAGATCACAGAAGTCAGTGGTTTAATTGTTTCAGACTCAGCGTCTGACAGGGGCGGGCTGGAACCCGCTGTGTAAGTGGGCTGCAGCCGCAGGACAGACCCCCTAGGGATGCTTATCCTTTCCCATCACAAACATCCGTGGCAGTGACTTTGCATGATTACTGGCCACGAAAATCAGATGTCCTCTCTTTTGGGGGGAGTGAATGTTTTTACTATAAACATCTGAGAACCAGTATGAAAGTGGCTTGGACGATTAGCGTTTGGGGAAAGGGGGTCACACTCACTTAAGGTCTCAGGACTGTAATGTAAATAATCCCTGTTGAAATTCTGGCTTTTTTCTCTGGGACGTTTTCTTGCACGTGACCTTTCATGGCTTTGTCTCAGGGTTGCGGTGTGTGTAACTTGGCGTCCTTTGGTTTCTAGTAGAAGGAGCGATTTTCTGTCACTCCGTCATTTCAATCTGATTGCTGTCTGTCTGCTATTTTGCGTAGACTCAGATAGCAGCAAACAGTTTGTCCAGGTTTGGCACGAGCAATCTGATAGAAGCCTTACAACCGTCTTCATTTATCAGGTAGGGAGTTGAGATTCACCCAGTCGGGCGATGGCATGGATTGGTTCAAACCCCACGTGCCCACGTAGAACTCTGACGTGGGGCCCCAGAGCAGAAGTGTTGGAGATTTGGATCGAGGGTTGGAGCTCACATTTACAGGGGGAGACTTTCTGTCTTGAGTTTCTGGGTTCGGGTTATTTGCGGTTGCTGGCCACGGTGACCAAGTGGCAGACAGCCCTCTGGCATGGCGACCTCGTCCCTCGGTGTGAGAGGAAGGCTTTGTGTTTTCATTGTACTCTTCCTTGGTGAGGATGGTGGTGGCAGTTACAGTTTCCTCTTCTGCCTTTCAACTCCGCCTGTGTATCTGACAGCTTGAGTGACTTGGCACTGTTCGATTTCAAGTAGTCTTGCAACGCTGATTTAGAAAGTGACTCATTTACCTATGTCTGTTTGTCTTGCAGGTCACGGAACAAAAAACCAAAGGTAAGATCTTTTTCTCTTCAAGTTGTTGGAACTTTTGTTTCTGGGTGTTGCATCCTTGCTGACTCAGCCTCCTGTCTACCTGATAAGCGAGTGGGTGCTGTGCGCCCTCGTTGACACGCCCTTGCTGACACTCCGTGGCTGGAAAACAAAAAACAAAAACAAAAGGTACAGATTAGAAGAAGTGCTGCTTTGTTTTGAAAGGATGAGGGGTCAGAGTCTTTAACTGAACCTTTTGAAACTTTTAGGGGAAATAAAAGGAGAGTTTGCTAACCCCTAATTTACAGATGGTCCTGCAAAGTCCTTTTTGGTCTTGCTCTGTGGCGTTCACTGAATCTGAAATGGAGAATTAATATCTAGGGTGGGAAATTTCCTGGGCGAGGGCCTGGATTCCGATTTTTGTTGTTTCCTTCCTTCCTTCCTTCCTTCCTTCCTTCCTTCCTTCCTTCCTTCCTTCCTTCCCTCCCTCCCTCCCTCCCTCCCTCCCTCCCTCCCTCCCTGTTTTGGTTTTTGCAGCAGCTCAGGCCATCATGCATGCCAGATGTATGTGCTCTGCCACTGAGCTCTGACATTTGCTCTGGAGGAGGCGGATACACTCTGCCACTGAACTATGTCATTTCCTCTGAACAGGTGTATATGCTCTGCCACTGATCTCTGTTATTTGCTCTGGATCAGTTGTATGTGCCGTGCCACTGAGCTATGTCATTTGCTCTGGAATGCGTCACCAAAAAACAAATGCACTTTGGACAGGGAGGTGGCCCAAAGCAAATGGGAGCCCTCGGTTCCTTCTCCAGCACCCCACAGTGTCCCAGGCACCACTGGGACACTTTAAGGTCCCTCGCCCTGATTATCTCCCTTGAGCATTGCTGGGTGTAACAAAAGAGCTTTTTTTATAAGATAGTGATACTGGGGAATAGAGGCTGGCGTCCCCCAGGTCATGCTCAACCTAATGGTTCTTTGTTTCCTGTTGGTTTTAATCACAGTCTTGTGAGTTTTGGTCGGTTCCCCTGAAGAGCAGACTTGGGGCCAGACTGACTCCATTGGTGAAATGCACACACTGCACACCCTATGTGCAATCCCAAGACCCCTGGGTTAGATCCCAGGCATCGCTCAGGGAAGACCCCTGAGCTCTACCAGCTACGGTCTCACAACAGGGTTTTTTTAATTTAATTTTATTTTTATTTATTTAATTTTTATTTATTTATTTTGGAGAATGCAGAGCTTAATTCCTTAAGATTGATGTCTATCTCTGTCCTTGTCCTCTTAAAAAAAAATGTGATTCTCAACAAGGGAATTGCTAAGCCTAGGCCTCCCGCATCATGGCCCCAGGCTTCAGCTCTTGCAGTTCTGTTTTATAAAGCTCTGTGGGCGACCCAGTGTGTGTCCTGAGTTGAAACCCTTGCCCTGAATAAAGGAACTGCTAATGACTAGGTGGTAGATCCTACTGGTGTAGCATGGTCCTGGCGTAATAGAAAAATCTCTCACTGTTTTTCATCAAAGTTGTCTTCCGCTTCACTGCCAGGCCAACATTTGCCACGCAGTGATGGAAGAAAGAGTAATGACGGCATTGCTGGTTTCCTTGGAAATGTGATGGTACAAAAATTCTCAAATGACAAAACGCTACTGTACTTTGTCAGCCCTGTCCTCCCGTTGTTCATCGATTTGCTCGAGCGGACACCAGTAACGTCTCCATTGTGAGACTTGTTACTGTGTTTGGCATATCGAATATGCCACGAGGACCTTGCCAGGCTCACCCAGAGGGGCGGAGGAGTCAAACCCAGGTCGGCTGTGTGCAAGGCAAATGCCCTACCCGCTGAGCTATTGCTCCAGCCCACTGTACTATGTGTGTTTTTTTGTTTTGTTTTAATTTTTTTCCCTCTTTTTGAGGAGGGGGGCCCACATCCAGGGCTCCTCCCTGTGGTGCTCCAGGACGTTCTCCAGATGCCGGAGAACATGCCCATGGCCCCCGCACGCCACGCTGGTCCTCTTGACTCTCTCTGGCCCGCGCTCTGCTCTGACAGATCTCTGGTCACTTGCACCCTGGACACTGCTCACACGTAGCCCACCTTGAGCTCCCCCTTTCCCACACCCCCTCAGCTAAAGCATGTCAAGCGAGAATGGAGTCTGGAACTTAGCGGTGATTTATTAAGTAAGCTGAGAGCCCATTATTATTTTTAATTATCTCAGCAAAAATAATGTTTGTGATTTTTTTTTTTTTTTAAATTTCAGCTAGCTTCCATCCCGGGAGTAGGCTTGATTTTTGGAAGTGTTCCGGACGTTAATTGTTTGAGATGGAAACTGTACTAGGTTACTATGGAGACAGTTGTTGATAGAGCCGCTGTCCGTATTTTCAAAACGAACATACTGTCTAGGAAAGTATATTCGGGCACCTCCGTATTTATATTGGTACGCTGTTTCCGTGATTCACACGGGCAACAGAGGACAAAATTGTCATTTCCTTGGCCAGTCCGGCCTTGCGGCTGTCAGACTCCAAACCTTGGTTCCTGGACCGCTTCGGCTCAGCGGCGGTGCTCTGCGGCCCAGGGCCAGTTGGGCTGGAGAAACGTGCTGCCGTGTATGGGGACTGGTGTTGCTTTTGGAAAAACCGAAGCTCAGCAGGCATTCTTTCTCACATTTTTTCTTTCTTTTTATCCTTTCTGGCGGGGCAGCAGTGATACTGGATCTGTTTTCAGAAACATATTCCTTTTTCCCTCTCCCCAGAGTCTGAAAAAAAAAAAAAAAGAATCAGACTTCCTTTTCAACTCATGGCTGGATTTTCCTTCCCAGTAGGGTTTTTCTCATATTTAATACAGAATGGAACACGAAGCCTCACAGTTTCCAAACTTTCCCCACCTCGCCTCCCCCATCAAAAATTAAAGTAAAATAATCATAAGCGGAGCTGAGAGCTATTTTTTGAGTCCTTAAGGATTTAATTGTTAGATGAAACGGTCTTTTCTGGGATATGTTTGCCTGTAAGTAGAGAGAGCCCTTTTTTGTGGGAGGGAGCAGGACACACACGCACACATGCACACACACACACACGCACGCACGCACACATGCACGCACGCACGCACACATGCACGCACGCACGCATGCCCAGCAGTGCTCAGGGCTTACTCCTGACTCTGCTTAGGGGTCGCTCCTGGCAAAGCTCAGGGGATCCTAGTGGGACCTGGGGATCGAACCTGGGTTGGCCACGTGCACGGCAAACTCCCTACCCACTGTACTGTCGCTCTGGTGCCTTACTTTGGTTTTGTCTTTAGTCGGGATACTTGTTTTTGTTCCCAAGAGCTTCCCAGACACCCTGATTGAAGCTCAGCCCTCTTTTCTCCCTTTAGCTGACGGTTCTGGGTTCTCTTCTTCCCCCAAACGATGCCCTTCTCAAGCAGTCTTCCTATATTTTTGTGATTTTTTTTTGGGGGGGGTGGGTTTGGTTGGTTGGTTTCTTTTCTTGGGCTCTGAGCCATCTTTGACAGTGATCAGGAGCCACTTCCGGCTCTGTGCCGGGGATGGAACCCGGGTCTCCTGCATGAGGCCTTTGGTCTGTCCACTGAGCTCTCTGTGGCACGAGGTGATCCCCCCTACATTCTGAATTCCCGCCTTACCTCCACGGGCCGCTCTCTGACTGTTCAGAGGACCCAAGTAATTTGCCCGTGTTGTCTGTGTTTTTGATAAAAAGTAGATTCATGGCATGTTCTTCCTCTTACCGTCCATCACTTCCTTCAGACAGAGAGTTCTGGAGCCAGTCAGCGGGGTTGGAAGTGGAGGTACGAGCCGGGGCCAGGGCTGCTGTGCAGCTCACAGATAACAGGGAGCAAGACCAATCGCCGGCTTTGCTGGCTGTTAGATTCAGAATGAAAACAGTTCCCGGGATGGATGTAATTAGACCTTCGGTAGAGATGTAATATCCTTCAGTAGAGATGAAGGATAAGGCGAGGATTAGAATGATAGTAAATAGTGGAGAATTTGGACATAATGTTTGGCCTTGTTAAAGTGATACTAAAATAACAGGGACTTACAGGTAAATGACAGATCCACACAAGCTAAAGTTCACACGACCTCACGCTGCATTAATGCGCGTGGAGTATCTCGGAAGGGATCTGCTGCATCTGTGATGAATGTCATTTCAGAAAGGAACGGGACACGGAGCTGGGGTGGCTTGGCCAAGGAACTCGGGGAGGCCCCCCCGCTGGAACACTGAGGCAGTGGGGGACCCTTGTTAATGGTATGGGGAGGGTCAGGTACCTGCCCCCCCACGTCACGGGCGCTGGTGTCTGACACGTAATGGTTCCTTGGTAAGTATCTGTCAGATATTTTGTTCTGTGACACCTGCTTTGATTCCAGAAGACTCGATGATGAGTCAAAGCAACAGGGAACAGCTTCCGGCTGAGTCCAAGTCAAAGCCGGGTAGGTATTGTTTCCAGGGTAATATTCAGAGCCTTGACCACACTGGGACATGACCGAGTGGCAGCGGGGTGGACAGGCTGTCACAGCCCATTGGTCACCACTGTCCACCTCTTTAGGTGTGCTCTACACACACACACACACACACACACCTGTCGCTCTGGGGAGGGGACACCTGCAGGTCTGCTCTACACACACACACACACATACACACACACGGCTCTGCACTCAGGGATCACTCCTGACGGGGCTCATGGGACCATATGGGATGCTGGGGATTGAACTCGGCTCAGCTACATGCAAGACAAACACTCTTCCTGCTGTGCTACCGCACAAGCCATAATAAATATATATATATATATGTATTTTATGAGAGAGCGAGAGTGCGTTCTGTGCCTCTCTCATTTTGACTAACTTCACTCAGCATGATACTTCCCAGATCCTTCCACACAGCAGAGAATTGCACCGTTTTTGCAAATTTTGCAAACAATCATAAAGTTTCATCTTTTCTTACAGCTCTGTGGTATTCCATTGTGTGTATGTACCATAGTTTTCTTTGTCCAGTCATCTGGTCTTGGGCACTTGGGTTGTTTCCAGAT